GGCTCTCCTGGGGTTTCTCAGGAGGCCCTGGGTTGGCAGTTTACTGTTCAGGCCCTATTGTTGCCTGGTGGTTCTTGGAGACCTCCAGGGCTATAGCCTGTGATGCTCGGGGACTTTGTGGCAACAGGGATGGAAGTGGGGTTGGCCCCATGCAAGGTGTGCACATTCATCTTTTTTTTTTGGTCCAAGATAACTATCTTCTGCTTCACTAGTTCTCCCAAGGAGGGTGAGAATTTGGATGGAAGCCAATAGTACAAGATAAAATGCTATCTTAGAAGAAAGGAAAAATGAGCCAAGGTTTATCCCATTGGATTTTGGACTGGGGTTCATTTCTTTTTTTTCTTTTTGGGTCACGCCCAGCATTACACAGGGGTTACTCCTGGCTCATGTACTAAGGAATTACTCTTGGTGGTGCTCAGGAGACCATATGGGATGCTGGGAATCAAACCCGGGTCGGCAACATTCAAGGCAAATGCCCTACCCACTGTGCTATTGCTCCAGCCCCTGGAGTTCATTTCTTTCTTTCTTTCTTTCTTTCTTTCTTTCTTTCTTTCTTTCCTTCCTCTCTCTCTCTCTCTCTCTCTCTCTCTCTCTCTTTCTCTTTCTTTCTAAGATATTCTCTTTTTGGGGGATGGGGATGTGGTCAGGAGTATAGCACTTGTCTTGCACATGTGAGGCCCTGGGTTGAGTTTCAGCATCACACATAAGAATAAATAGAGCCAGGCAAGCTACTGAGAGTATCTCGCCTGCACGGCAGAGCCTGGCAAGCTCCCCTTTACGCATTTGATATGCCAGACACAGTAACAAGAAGTCTCACGATGGAGACATTACTGGGTCCACTCGAGCAAATCGATGAGCAATGGGAGGACAGTGCTACAGTGAATAAATGAATCAGAGAAGTGGCTCAATGTATTCCCCTCCCCCTTTCCAAGTTCCTGGTTTCTATCTACTCTATTCAGATTAAGCACCCTTGTTCTTGCTCCTTCTAGGAGGAGGAGGAAAGAAGAATGCAGTTCGTGGTCTTGGGTCTCCCCTTGCTCCTTCTTCCCTTAATGATACCTACGTTAGGGAAGTCCAGGTTTAGTTTGAATTTCACGTCCAGCCACTGGCTTTTATCATAGTCAGGAGCTGTAAGAGAGAGAATGGAGTGAGACCCAGCTTTCTTAACAGATTAGGAGAGAGAGACGAGCTAAAGAAACGATCCAATCCCAATCCCTTACATTCCTGAGCCCTGAAAGCATGTCCCTGTAACCCTTGGGGCCTGTCCGATGCGTGGCGCTTGGAGGCAGGATGCCGGCTTCTAGAGAGGGGCACATCTTTGCCTTCAGTGGACACAGCAGAGCTCCTAGCGGGGAGGCGGCGAGGGCCGGTTTGGGGCGGGGGTGCATGGGCGCCCAGGGCGGCTTTACCTTCCCCGCAGGTGTACTGTTTCTCCTCATAGCAGGTACCCGTGAACTCCAGGAGCAGGCGGATGGCTTGTGCCAGCTGCAGGCAGACAGCTGGGGTGAGTGCGGGGGCTCAGCCCTGCTCCGCTCCCGTGCCCCGCTCCCCGACTGGCATGCCTGGCGGGTCCGGGGCAGCCTCGGCCCAGCAGCACCCCGCCGCCGCTGAGGTGGACGTTAAGCGGTCGCGAGACCCGCCCCGGCCGTTTGCTGCCCTCACTTAGGTCCGCGTCCACCGGTCCCTGCCCTCCAGCGGCTCGGCGGGGTTGGCTGTGCTCGGGGAAGGGAGCTCGGGCGCCCCACGGAACCTCAGCTCCGGGCGGGTGGGCTGGCACTCACCCCGCGAATATCCCAGTAACCCAGGACCATAGTGGACTGGTCCGACATGGTGCCGACTCCCCAGTGATGCTGCAACCCGGCCTGAGAGTGGGCGCGGCCGGAGCTTTTATAGGCACGCGAGGGGCGTGGCCAACGAACGGCCCTGGCTCCGCCCCTACCCGCCTCCGCCCCGCCCCGCCCCGCGCGGCCGGGGGCTTCCCGGGTGCAGCTGCGCTTGGAGCTCGGCGGCCCCTGCATTGGGCTCACGCATCCCTGCAAATGGGAGCAGTTAGGCCAGAAGAGTTTCAGCAGCGCAGCCCGGGACGGTCCGGGTGACCCTCGGAACCAGCTTCGTTTCAGACCCACTTTTCTGGGGAGGTGGGTGGGAGGCGGCCAAGACCCCAGAGGCTGGCCGGGGCTACCTGGGCATTGCTGTCTTCGTCGATGAGGGCTGCTGGGCACATGTGCAGAATTCTTTTGAACTGTTTTGCCCGCGTGCTCCATGGCAAGTCCACTTAGGACAGTGAGCTCCTGAATTTGCGGTGGAAATCACATTTCCCCAAGAGTTCACTGGAAGCGCTGGGCCATTCCCCTCCTTTCTCAGCTGTCTCCCTTTCCTCACTGTCTTATCCAAAACTGTCCTTAGCTCTGCGGTCAGTGTCCACGGATTTGTCCTATTCTATTTTGTCCGTTCGTTGATTTCATATCAGTATGTTGCACATATCCACCACCTGTCTTTTTTCTTTTATGATTTGTTTTCCATAATCGCTCCCTCTTCAATTCCTTCCAATTTGCTGTAAATGACAATTTTCCTTATTTTAATAGCCAAATATTATTCCACTGTATAAATGCACCACAATTTTCCAAGTCATCTAATAAAGGGCACTTTATTTTTTTTTGATACCTAAAAGTGTAATTGCTGGATCAGATAGTAGTTTTATTTTTAATTTCTTTTATTTTTGTTGGGGGGCCACACCCTGCTGTGCTCAGGAGCTCCTCTGAGCCTGTGCCAGGGCTTCTTTCTGATGGTGCTGGGACTCAAACCTGGGCCAACCATGCACGCCAACCCTTTGAGCTCTCTCTGGTCCTTGTCTTCACCTTCTTGAGGAAGTTCTGTAGGACTTTCCAGAATGGTTGCAAGATGTACGTTTCAAGCACTGGAGAGTTCCCTTTTCTTTTGCTCCTCCAAGACACTTTTTTAAAAAAATTTTTTATTAGTGAAACACCATGAGGTACAATTGTAGACTTACAAATTTTTGTGCTTGGGTTTCAATTATACAATGATCAAATACCCATCCCTCCACCAGTGCCCATTTTCCACCACCATGTATCCCAGTATCCCTCCCACCCCCCATCCTCCACATCCCACCCTGCCTCTGTGGCAGGGCATTCCCTTTTATTTTCTCTCTCCTTTTGGGTGTTGTGGTTTGCAAAAGAGGCATTGAGTGGCAATCATGTCTGGTCCATAGTCTGCTTTCAATATGCATCTCCCATCCTGGGAGGATCCTCCAAACACCCTTTATTTGGTGCTCCCTTCTCTATCTGGGCTGCCCTTTCCCCTAGAATGCCCGCTGGCCTCTAAGCCATGGAGTAATCCTCCTGGTACTGATCTTGGCTATTCTCCAAGACACTTTTATGCTCCTCTAAATGTTTTATTTTTGGAGCACACCCTGCAATGCTCAGGGATTACGCCTGGCTCTCTGGGGGTGCTCAAGGGACCATATGGGATGCTGGATAGAACCCGGGTCAGCCAATGCCAAGCAAACACCCTACCCATTGTGATATTGCTCCAGTTTCTTTTGTTGTATAGTCTGAAGTCAGGTAATACAATGCTTCTACCTACTTATTTTCTTCTCTGACATTGCCATAGGATTTGACATCTTTTATGATTTCATATGAACCTTAACACTAAGGTTTATTTTTTATTTGTTCTAGTTCCTTTAAAAATATCATTAGAATTTGTGTTGGGACTGTATTTAATCTATATGTTGCTTTTGGTAGAGTGGACTTTTAAATGTAATCAAAAATTTATTTTTTATTGATTGTGGGCTAGGTAACATGGTTATAAAATGGTATTAATGTGTATGTTTATTTATTTATATGTTTTTTGGCCACACCTGGCCATGCTCAGGGTTTACTCCTGGCTCTGCACTCAGGGAACCATTTGAGGTGTTGGGGATTGAACCTGGTTGGCCGAGCGCAAGGTAAGGGCATATCTGCTGTACTGTTGCCCCCACCCCTGTTTATGGTTTCGATGTACAAATTGCTGTACTTACACCACCACCAAGGTGCCCAACACCCTCCACCATTGTTCTTCTCTCACACCTAAGCCCACTTCTTTCTCCCCATTCACTCCACTGCTTGGTGATCTCAGTTTTGTAAACAAAGGTCAAGGGATTTCCTTGTTTTGCTTCACTGTATACCACAGGTGAGTGAGGTCATCTGATATTTGTTCTTCTCCCTGTGCTCTTTCACTTAACATAGGCTCACGAATGACGTGCCAAGTAGTGGCCTTGGGATCTCATAGACATAAGCTCATTTATTCGAATTCAAGCTGCCCACCGGCTGAGATCTGCCTGTTGGCCACTCTTGTGCCAGCCTCAGGTTACCCCCATTTCTCAGTCTCTGCTGGGGATCCCAGGAAACTCTGGACTAAAACCGTTTCTCTCATTCTGGTGAGTTTCTTACTTCTAACTCTCCTTTAGTCCCATTTCACCTTCCTCCAAGACCCAGAGGGGACATAGGTTCATATTACCTCCTCCTTATTCACCCTAGAAATGAACTTCTTTGGTTAACTTTTGCCTTTGACAGACCCTAAAGGTCTCACTTTCCTGCCTTTTACTTGGGTTTGTTTTGCAAGAGAACTTTTGTGTTTGTTTGTTTTGGGGCCACACCCAGCAGTGCTCAGGGATTACTCCTGGCTCTGCACTCAGATATTACTTCTGAAAGGCTCAGGGGTAATGTACTTTGTAGGGGATACTGGAGATCGAATCGAGTTGGCTGTGTGCAAGGCAAGTGCCTTACCCACTATACTATCTCTCTGGCCCGGTGAGAGAACCTTTTATACTTGCCTTTTGTGTGTAACTTTCTGAAGTTAGGAATTTGGTTTTGTTTGTCTGTTCTGTTTGGATGGAGAGTAGGCGCTTATTCCTGACTCTGCTCAGGGAACACTCTTGGCCGGCCTTGGGGGGACCTTCCTAAGGCAAGGAATTTGAGCAAATGACACAGGAAGTCTGTAACCTAGATCCCGGACACTGTTAGCGCTATGGGCAAATTCAGCAGAGAAGGGACGGTCTTCAGCAAGCCTTCTCTGTGGTTATAGTCAGAGAAACTACAGCTGTTGCATAGGGTGGAAGTCTGGGGGGATGGGAGGGCAAAGAGCCTCCCACAGAAAGTGATATCAGCAGCCCGAGATTAATGCAAAGCCTCCTTTAACTTTCCACAGAACAGAGCCATAGTCCACATAGGCAACTGTGGACTTTTAACTTTCGTTCCAGTGCTTTTTGTTCCAAGAAGGAGAGGTGGGGCGGTGGCCTGAGCTTGGCCCACTCCAGAGTAGGGGACAGAAGTTGTGTCAAATGTGAAAGTTATATAGATGGGGGAGCACCTGGCATCCAGGTACAATTTCTTATCAGCTAGCACAGCTGGGCAGTGCCTACTGTTGCCAGCCTGGTGCTCTTTGTTTTTGCCAAGTGTACCTGCCCCCAGGTGCTAGGAATAAGCAGGGACAAGTGGGCCCCTAAGGATAAAGCCTGGAGGCATATGGGTCTGAGAGACAATGTAATAGGTAAGGTACTTGCCTTGTACTTGGTTATCCAGGATTTGATTTCCAGCACCACATAGGGTCCCTTTAATCTCTCTAGGAGTGATCCCTGAGTCCAGAACCAGGAATAAGCCCTGAACACCACTGGGTGTGCCCCTCCGGACTTAAACTCGGGAGCATAGTCTTAGATTTAAAAAGAGTCAGGGGAGCAGAGCCCAGGGTCAAAGTTTCCGTCCAGCTGCAGCGTGCAGTGCTGCACGTCCAGCTGCCCCATGTTTCTAGTCTGACCACGGAGGGCTCTGGGCATTCGTGCCCAGTGTCCCGGCCTCCTGCCTCCCTGCCTCTGGCTCCCAGCGTGCACAGAACAAGCAACCGGGACTGCAAGCTTAAACAGGTCTTTATTTGGGAGCACTCAGACTGGAGAGTCCTGAGAAATCAAGGCTGGAGGGAAGCGTGACAATAAATAGAGGGGACAGAAAGCTCACTGCTTTCACTACAGCATAAAGTGACACCGTGTCTCCGTTGGGGGACTTCGCATCCTCAGGGCTTCGGGAGCTGGGGGGTGGGGTGAGCTGCAGAATGGGGCCTTGAAGGAGATGTTTTCTGGCTCAAAGGGCTCGAGAGCGTCGAAGTTGCTTGTGTCAAGGTCTTGACGGTGTCTGGGTTGTGCCTAACGTACCTTCTGAGGGAGGATGAGAATCTGGGTGAGGCTGGGAAGGCCGCCCCCCAACCCCCGAGCTCAGGCCAGCCAGAGGTGGTCTCGGTGTGGGCCACCTGCAGCAGTGGGTGAAATCTTTGTGCCCAGTACCTCAGTTTCACCCAAACTCTCTCCTGCAGGAGACAGCCGCCGTCTCAGTGGACGCCCACCCCCACGCCAGTCCTTACCCCCAGCATCCGTTTGATGCCTTCCAGCCGCGACAGGATCCGTGAGGCCTCCTGAGGGCACAGCATCTGTAGCTCCCCGGATCTCAGGTGAAGCAGCTGGCGGCCGTTCATGTGCCCAAGTGTCTTCACCGTGCTGGGAACAGGGCAGCGGGCGTCAGGGCTGGCCCGGAGCCCTGCACCTGAACCTTCGGGCTTGGAGTCTGGGGTTGCAGGGGGTTACTGGTGGGCCAGGCTACCTGACTGTGGACAGGAACAGTAACCTTTGGACTTGAACCCTTTCCAGAACCCATGGGTTTAAAGACAGCAGGCCCCAGGGGACAGCCTAGTCATTATTGGGGTTACGGTTGGAGTAGGGGGCTTCTTCCCAGGTTCCCTGAGCCTGCTGCCTGCACAGCAAGGGGTCCCTGCTCAGGGCTCTGACCACGCCAGATGGGGGACATGCCCTCTCAAGGCAGCGCCCCATGGACCATTGTCATCGTCTTGTGGGTTCTGGTGTCCTAAGTTACTATCGGGGCCTTTGCAAAGATTTCCTGACACACCCTTGGGCCCTGACACTCACTCGGGGGAGAAGTGCTCGGCCTGCAGCCAGGCTGTGACCTCTGCCGGCTTCGAGCTGAGTCTCAGCGTTGGTGTCTAGAATCGAGGGAAGAAGGGGTGAGGGGTTGACTGTCTCAAGCGCCCTCCACCCGTCCCCCTCCTCCAGGCTCTTTGCCTGGATTCCCCAGGGCCCCGTGGGCCCTTGAGGCTGGTTCTCTGCTGACACCCCACCATGAGCTCTGCCTCCGCCCCCATCCAGTCCAGAGCTGACTCTCCGTGACCCACGAACCCTCACGCGCAACCCCCACTCAGGCTCCCGGGAAATACCCAAGGCGGAGACTGGCCCTGGTCCGGCTGCAGGGGCTCCAGGATGTTGCTGGGGATGTAGCCACTCGAGCCCCTCTGGTTCTTCACCAGCCACCACCGCTTGCTTTGGTCCAGAACCTGTGGAGAGGCCCCGCTTCCATCACCGCCAGGAGCCTCCCTTGCCACCCAGCCTCTCCTTATCAGTCCTCCTCCCGCCCCAGAGCCCACCTCCTTCCCCAGCCTCACTCACCTCCAGCACCTCCCCTTGGGCCACTGTGAGCTCCTGCTGGTTCCTGGCCTGGAACTCACAGATAGCCTGCATCCCATGAGCTGCCCGGCCACTGTCGTACGGTTCCTCTTGGTCAAGGCGGGAGCTGCTCGCTGACCTAAAGCTTCCCCGCAGCCCAGGGCAGAATCAGGGTGACTCTGGAGCTGGGGCCTCTGAGCTGGGGCCCCTGACTCTGTCCCCCAGCTCCCATTTAACTAGTGCCTGCTGCCTGCAGTGTCTCTGGGACACCTGTAGAGAACAGTTCCAGGTCAGTGTCCTGTTCTGCCGGCAGGAGAGGTGGGCAGTGACACAGCCAGGGTCTGTCCTGAGCTCTGCCCTGTACTTTACCCCCCATGAGGGGAGGGGACTGGAGCAGACAGGGGGAAAACTGCTAATTCACTCCATGCAGAGGTGTTGGTGCATGGGTCAGGCTGCCAGAGAGCCTGGGGGTGGGGGGCCTCTGGGAGGGGGAAATAATGGCCCTCTCCCCAGCCCGTCCTCTCGGTCCCGACCCAACCCAGAACCTACCTAGAGATAGTCAGGTTCTCGTTTCCTGGGGGTTCCTGTTCCTGGGAACAGAGCAGGAGAGAGCCAGATGGAGCTGGAGTCCCACCACATCTGATGTATAGGTGTGTGTGTGGGGTGAGGGTGGGGGCGGGGGCCGGGGCGAGGAACCACCTACCACCGGCTGGGCCTGAGAGAGAAGAAACTAGCAGAGACCTGGGCATTGACCCGGCCCAGGCTCAGCCTTCACCCCTACCTGGCTGAGGGGCTTTGGACTCATCAAGTCACTGGTGAAGGTGGGCTGGTAAGGGATGGGCTCGCTGCCTTTCCAATGGTCCCTGAAGAGAGAACACAGTGAGGTCCACCATGAGCCAAGCCGCAGGGGCATTGGGGACAGAGAGTGTGTCTAGACTCGCCTCGGGCCTCCCCTCTGGGTCTATGTGTATCGACAGAAGGCTCCAGGGAACCCACAAAGGATCAAACAGTGCAGCCACAAAGACGGGCACAACAGCCTCTGCCCACACAGTGCAGTCATCCAGAACCCCACCCCCAGCACAGTGCCCGCTGAGTGGAGAGCGGGCGTGTGAGAATGACAGAGTCACCGAGGATTACCAAACCCCATTTCGGGATGCTAATCTGCCGGTCTGCCTCGGCTCACTCCACAGACTCAGGCGGGCTCCTGGGCGACCCTTCAGGCTCCCACCTGGCAGTGCCCAGCCCCTCAGCCGGACAGCGCCAGGTGTGTCCTCTTCTCCACTGCTCCTGAACTGTGAGCCTGATCTTTACGTTCCCTCATGCCAGACCCCACGGGGTTCCCATGGCCATGTTTCTTTGTGGAACTTGAGTGCATTACCTGGAGGACGTTGGACGGCGTGTGGCGACTAGGTCCCAGGGATTCCCAAGATCAATAGTTATCCATCTTGGGAATTAGTGAGCAAATAAATGATCCCTCTAAATCTGCCTGGTTGTTTCTCTTCGTCCCCAAACCAAAGTCGTCCCTTGGCCGTTTGCTGTTCTCATCGCCTCTTCAATACCGTAATCTTTCAAGAATGCATCTCTGTGTTCTACCTACAATTCCTCACCAATGGTTCTTTCACTCTTCCGAGCAACCGAAACTCCCACCACTGCCCTTACGGCACTGACACTAGTTCACCTAAAGGATCCATTGTCTCCCTATGCCGAGTCCTGTGAGCTTGTATTACTGCTTCTCTCACTGTGCTCCCTTCCAAACTTGTTTTCTTCCTGTGGTGTCCCTGTCCTACTGTTGTCCCCCAGTTTGGTGCTGTGGTCCCTTCTTTACATGAGGTCCTCCTGTGGCCCCTTAGAATATCTCGGGGGCCTAGAGTTGAACAGTGTAGGCCCCCAACCTGAGGAATGCTTCTCTATTCTGGATGAGTTCAGTTCTTAGAGCTAAACCGTGTTTTCTATTACGTAGTTGTTGCACCCCATTTTAAAGTAATATGGGCACAATTGCTTTTTTTTTTCTTTTTGGGTCACACCCAGCGATGCACAGGAGTTACTCACTCCTGGTTCATGCACTCAGGATTTACTCCTGGCGGTGCTCGGGGGACCATATGGGATGCTGGGAATCGAACCTAGGTCGGCTGCATGCAAGGCAAACGCTCTACCCGCTGTGCTATTGCACCAGCCCCAGAACTGCTTTTTAAGAAAGCTTCACATAATAGTCACACACACTTTTTTTTGCACAAAAATTTAAAATTAAGGCACAAAATCTGCAACCATTCGTTATTCAGTGAAATATGGTATTTGGAACGAGTTGCTTAAAATCAATGTACTTGATTATAAAATGCTTGAAACTCAACTCTTTTGAGTTTTTTACATCCCTTTCAATCTTTGTCCTGTATGTCTTTCATTTCATTCATTTATGGTATTTTGAGAAATTAGAAAAACAACTTAGGGCACATCTGATTAACTCTGTGTTTGAAACAATACAGAGACAGAAAGCAGAATGAAGGCAGTAGAACAGAGGGGCGGGGACAGGGAAGGAATGTGCCCCACATTTTATTTAGTTTCATTGTTTAACGGGTACAGAGTTTCTGTTTGGAATAGTGAAGATGTCCTGAAAATGGTTAGTGGTGATGTTTGCACAACATTACTTATTTTGGTTTATTTTGGCCACACCCAATAGTGCTCAGGGCTCATTCCTAACTCTTTGCTCAAGGATCACTCCTGGCAGTGCTCAGGGGGGCTATAATGTGGTGCCAGAGATCAAACTTAGGCCATATGCGTACAGGCAAAGGCCATGTGTGCACAACCCTACCCACTGTGCTATCTTTCCTACGCTTAATACACTTAATATTAATGCCACCGAACTGGACACTTTAAAAAGTTCTAGTGATGGACAATATGGGATAATATAGATAGCCTACTCTAACAAAATATATGGCAACAAATTATTATTTATGATTTTAAGTGAGTTGGACCCCCTCCAAAAATCTTTCCAGGGGGCTGATTGGGAAGAATCACCCAAACAACTGCCTTGTTTCTTGCTTCTCTTGGCTTTATGCTTTCTTCTTTTTCCTTTGAACTCTCTGGAACTTCTCCTAATCTCCTTAGCTTTATTTTATTTATTTATTTTTTTAGGGACACTCTTCTCCCAAGGAGTGCCAGGGGGCCCAGAGACCACTCCCAGTGATTGACCAATAGGGCTAAATGGTTTAATTCAGTGCTGCTCAGGCCCACTGGCTGGGGTCTAGGGTCCAAACTCAGGGCCTGTGTCTGCCTGACATAAGCTCTAGCTCTTTGAGCTTTTTTCCCCAGATCTAGTCCTTTGCCCTGGTGCCATGTTTCTAGAATTTTCCCAAGGTTGTTCTGAAGATTCCCATTGGAGTGCTGATCTCCAGTGGCCCTGACTCTCACACCATAGGCCTGCTAACCTGAAGGCAGTCACTGTGTGCTGGGGAATGTTTTGCTGACAGCTCAGTACGTCCAAGCTGGTTTCAGCACTGCTCCCCGTGGTTCTCATCAGTTTGACCCTGCCCAGCCCTTCCAACCTAAGGAAATGTCCCTCTATTCCTCTGCCAGCTGGCTGCCAAATCTTACAGAAATTACATTTGTAGCAGCTCCCGCACCAGTAAAACTTAAATTCTGTCCTGGACAGAGACAAAGTTTTCACTTTGTCCTTGACACAAATGAGAATGTATTTCAGAAAAGCATAGCCAGTTTTTCTCTTGGGAAGAACTGTTCTTGATTCCTTTGGTGGTGACTATGGTAAATGGTGGCTATTTCCCCCGAAATGTACTTAGTTTTTTGGTTTTGGTTGGGGACAGACTTTTGGGGAGACCATGTGGTACTGGGGATCAAACCTGGGCCTCCACGTGCCAAGTCTGTGCCCAGCTCACCGTGCTCCTGCTTCAAATCTTAGAAAGAGTTGAGGAAGTTGCATGCCACATCCCTCGCTGGCTTGGGACAATATAGAACTGGACCACCGCCCTGACCCGGCCCTGTGCCCTGAGTCCCATCTCCCTGACCCAGCCCTGTACCCGAAGTCCCATGCCCGAGGTTCAGCACAGGCTTGTCCACTCACTGGCTGGTGGTCCAGGCGATGCCCAGCCCCTTCCAGAACGTGCTCTCTTTCTGGCTGAGGCAGGACTGGAGCAGGTTGATAGCGCTGGGGGTGAGGAGCGGTGAGATCACTTGGGCTGCCAGGGTCTTCTCAGAGCAGTAGTCCAGCAACTGGAGGGGAGGGAGGGGTCAGAAAGTTGCCCCCAAGGCAGAGAGAGGTGGTCCAGGCCTAGAGCTTCCCCTTCACAGAGCCATGATGCCAGTGCCCTGTCCCCTCAGTCCCTTTGCCCTGTCCTCTCTCCCCTGGAGCCTCCATGTCCTTGGCTTCAACCCTGGCCCATATCTACTGCTGTGCCCCTTGGGGGTAGTGAGAAGGGTGTGTTGGGGTGAGCGAGGAGCAGACCCCGCAACTGTCCCCTGCATTCTGCCTCAGCTTCTGCATCTTAGCCCCCGCCTGTCCCACTCCCCACCCTGGCCTCCCCCAACTCACGTGGCTCAGAGTCTGGAACAGGATGTGCACGAACTCCGGAGCCCCTGGCTCCTGCAGGCAATGGCCTAGCATGCCCTGGGGACACAAGGCGGCTCATTACCTTTGAGTCAACCCCTCTTGCACTTGGGACTCCACAGTCCTTTTGAGTCCTTTGTTTTGACCTCTCAAGTGATGCTCTGAAGGCCTGGGAGCCCCACTAGTAATTCTCAGCCAACTGGGCTCAGTGGCTTATGGTAGGGTTGCTGGCAGTCTCCAGCGCTGCCCTGCAGTGCTCAGGGCATCAGGTGGTTCCCCGGGTTGGGTGCCTGCCAGGCAGAGGTCACACCGCCCCACTGTTTCCCAGCCCTGGCATTTGTGTTAATTTTTTGGTGACCACTCCTGATAGTTCTTGGGGGGGGGATCGTGGGGTGCTGGGGTGAAACCTGGGCCTTTTGCGTGCATAGCCTGCACCCCTGCTTGTGGAGCTCTCTCTAGCCCTCCAACCCTTTGAGAATCTGGCACTCAAAGGCCCCGGATGTGGGGCTGTGTTGGGGAGAATCTGCGGTACCTATGAGGCCAGAGCAGAGGGGGCTGCAGGCGGAGGCAGGGGAGGGTGAAGTAGGGAGACAGCCAGAGGAGGCATTGTGGGTGACTTCCCTACCAGAAGATTGAGACTGTGCTTGATCTTCTGGAAGCAATCAGTGTACTGTGCCTGAGTCACACCTACGGGGAAGGGAGATGGCGCTGGGTTACAGAGCACCCCAATAATCCCTCTCCCCACTGTATCTCACCCACATTCATAATACTCGTGTCCACATGCACACTCAGACACACAAACACACATGTGCTCACCCACACAACACGCATAAACACACACACATACAGTCATACAGTCCTCACACCTGTGCTCACCCACACACGTATACACAGTCCTACAATCCTCATACATGCACACATGTGCTCACCCACATCCACACATCCACAGTCATACACTCCTCACTCACGCATACATGTGCTCATCCCCACACATACGCACACTCCATGAGCACTCATACACAGTCAAACAGTCCTCACACAGGTACACATGTGCACACACAGTGGCATACACGTGCTCACACGCATGCATGCACACACGCATTCCTGTCTGGGCCCTGGTGCTCACCGCCCTGATTCTTGTCTTTTTTCTTCTTTAGTTTCTTCTTGTGGCTGGCCTTTCCCTGGGCCTCCACTGTTTTCACAAACGCTTCAATCTCCTGCAGGGTGCGGTTCAGCTCCATCTGCCCCAAAGTACCCATGGCCCCCAGTGAGCAGGACCCTGTGGGAGCCCTGGGGCCCCTCCCTGCTCCCTCAGTCCCCAGGGTGCCCTGCTCATCTCAGCCTGGGCTCCCTCCACCTCCGGGCCAGGCCAGTTACCTCAGCCCCCAACAGGTCCTGGTCTTCAGGGGAGGGGGGCCGCCTGGCGGGGTAGGGCTCCCCCAGAACACTGGACTGGCGTGACAGTGGCTTTGGGGGCAGCCGGGCGTCTGTATGGCAGAGAATACAGCTCAGACTCATGGCGGGCTGATCAAAGCCGCCTCTGCCCCCCTTGCCTGAACCCAACTCACACTCCTGCTGGGCCATCCTGTAGGGCGGCTCTTCAGAGAAGTCCCTTTCCTGCGGGAATCTCGGCTCCATGGGGACAGGCCTTTCCGGGGGAGGCCCCTGCCACCTGTCCTGGCCTGGCCGAGGCCCTCCAAAGCGGGGCCTGGGGGCGCACGATGGGGTCATACCTTTGACGGGGTTCTCAGGGCAGAGGTTCTACCTGCTGGTGGGGCCCCGGCTGCCCCACCCCTCCCTAGCACCCCCACCTTTTCCTGGGTCTCCTGGGCCCTTGCCCACCCCGCTGGGCTCTCTTGCCTTTGTCCACCCCAGGCGTGGCTGTCCGCACTCCCAGCCCTTTCTCCAGCCCGTCTGTGCCCTGGCCCCTCCCTGGTCCTCCCAGCCTCAGGCCAGGCGGGTTGTGCTGGAGGTTCCCGGGTCCCTGGGGTGGGGGCAGGGTGTGAGCCCCGTGCCTACCTCTGTTCCAGCTCCTCCTGCATCGCCTTCTGCAGGCTGCTCTTCAGTTTCTCTGCCTGGAGGAGGCAGCAATCAGGGTGCGTGTGTGAGTGGGTGTGTGAGAGACTGTCAGAGTGTGAGAGTGTGAGTGTGTGAAATTGTGAGAGTGTGTGTGTGACTGTGAGAGTGTGAGTGTGTAACTGTGTGTGAGAGTGTGAGTGAGAGTGTGTGAGTGACTGAGTGTGGTGTGTGAGATTGTGAGAGAGAATGTGTGAGAGTGAGTGTGTGTGTGACTGTGAGAGTGTGAGTGTGTGAGTGTGAGTGTGTGACTATGAGAGTGTGAGTGTGTGAGTGTGTATGAATGTGTGGATGAGAGTGAGTGTGAGTTTGTGTAAGACTGAGAGTATGAATGAGAGTGTGTGAGTGTGTGAGACTGAGTGAATGTGTGTGAGACTGAGAGTGTGTGTGTGTGTGAGTAACTGAGTATATGTAAGGCTGTCTGTGTGTTTAGTGCCTTGTGTGTATGTGAGAGTGTGAATGTGTATTTGTGAGTGTGAGTGCATTTGTGTGTGAGTGACATGTGAGAGGTGTGTGAGCAAGTCTGAGAGTGATTGCGAGTGTGTGTGAGTGCTTGTGTATGTGTGTGACTGAGAGTGTGTATGTTTGTGTGAGTGCATTTGTGTGTGTGTGTGTGTGAGCGAGTGTGAGTGTGTATGTGTGTGTGCATGAGATAGATGTGACCCTGCGCGCCCCCCCCCGCCCTCCTGCCCCCTCACCCCCACTTCTTGGCACTGGAAGAGCAGAGTGTTGGTGCCCGTGGAACCTGACTTCCGTGCGGTGATGGACAGGATGGAGTTGTAGGAGCAGATGTTGAGCGCCACATCCATGGCCTGGATGCCGTCCAGGCGGTAGGAGTCCAGTTCCTCCTGGGTCAGGACAGGGGGCCATGAGGCTTCTGTCCCTGGTCTGAGTGGGTCCAGCTTTGGCAGTGGCTCTGGGTGGCGCCATCCCCCGCCCCCCCCCCCCCCCCCCAGCTCCTGTGCTCCGCTCTGTGGCCTCACGGGCCAGGGGTGTGGCACACTGGGCTTGGGGGGGCAGGGGTTGTGTTTGGGCCATGGAGGGGCAGCGTTTGGGAGCCGGCGTCTGGTGGCTCACCTTGGTCTCGATGTCCAGCAGCTGCATCCAGCCATCCCTGACCTGGAGGAGCAGGTCCTGGCTCCACACTTGGCCTCGTGCTTCCATGTCCTGCAGCCGCTGCAGCACGTCCTTGGGCTCCTGGATTTGCCGCGTCCCCAGCTTACACGTCATCAGGTGCTGCAGGGGGCAGGTGGGAGAGGGGCCGGGGAGGTGGGGGTCTCTGCGGTCCTGCCAGGGCTGCCAGGGACTGGGAGCTGCATACTGGCGGCTCAGAGGGGAGGGTGGGGAGACCTGGAGGAAGGCCTCCGTGGGGCTCCCACAGTCCAGGCCAGCCATGAGGCTCCAGCCTGCTCCCAGTGAATCTGCACCCTGGGTGGGAACCCTTCCTGGCGCCAGGTCTTTCTGCTCACAGCCCTGCGTGCCCCTGCCCGCGGCCCCTGCGCTCACATCCCCCTTCATGCCCCGCTTCTGCCATGCAGGGCCTCTGCACTCCTAAGTTCGGAGCTGCTTGCCCCCAGGCTCATGGTGAGGCTCTTCCCCCTCTGCGGGGTCTCCCTGGGACCCCTCCCCTGGAAACCCCTCCTTTTTCCAGCCAGCAACTCCCCGACAAGTCCAGGCCTGTCTGGGGCCTGTCTGGGGCTGCCTCCTGCCTGCTGATGCCTCATTCCTAGTTCCTCTCTGGATGTTTACGTGGCTGGTATGTTCAGGGACCCCCTCTCCCTTCCCTCTGTGGTTGGGCCAGTTCTTTTCTGCGGGGTTTGGGGGCTGCCAGTCTCCACCCCCACCGCGGTGCTGACCTCTGGCCTCCCTCCCCCCGGGCCTTGCTGATTGGGGGCTCACTCATGCAGCCCTGGGGAGCCTTGTAGACACCCTGCTTCTCCGGAAGCCTGCGGAGCCCTGGGCCCAACCACACCCTTCCACACCTCCTTCCCCAGGCACCCTAGCCTGCAGTTCCCACCCTCCCCCCCAACCCCGAACCCGTCCTCCGGGCAGGACCACGCTCTCCTGGCTCCCCACTTCCAGTCCCCAGCTCCTGCCCAGAGCAGCTCTCTGCTGAGTTCACACATTCCTGCCCCGGAGATAGGGCCTGGCCAAAGAGCAGCGGCTCAGTGAGGGAGGCAGCACCTGTGGACCCCACCCTCTGCTCCGGCCGGGCCTCAGTGCCTGGTGGGCAGGGCTCGGGCAGGGCAGTGTGGCAGGGGGTGCCGGGAGGCCCTGGGCATCCTCACCTCCACACGGTGCTGCATCTGGCCGGGCTCCATGACGAGGCTCTGGGTATACTCCATCCGGTTGTCTGTGAGCAGAGTGAGGGCATGGGGGGGGCTGAAGGAGGTGGGGGGCAGCGGGAGACCTGAGGGCATGGGGGTCAGACAGGGTGAGGCGGGGGGCTTACGGTAAATGGCTCTGCTGCTGGGCCGAGACATGTTGACCCGCTGAAGATGCCGCCGCGAGAACCTGAACTGGACCAGAAAGAGACTCAGGTCCGGGAGGAAGGCCAGAGGGCTGAGCAGCCTGACGTCCAGGTGGGCACACGCCCAGAGCCCTGACCCCTGGCCTTTCCCCAGAGCTCTCCAGCTTCCCCCTTCTAGGCTCTGAGTTGTTGTAAGGGAGACTCCAGGCCTTGCACTGGTTGGTCAGGAAGCCTCCGTCCCACGGCTCCGGAAATGGTGTGGACAGGCCCCCGGCCCACAGGCTGGTGGGGAGCCCTGAGAGGAAGGTGCTGGAGCCTGGTGCGCAGTGGAGGGGTAGGTGAGCAGGTTCCCTATCCAAGCAGGCCCTTCCCCATGCAAATAGAGGGCGGCTGACGGCTCTGAACCCAGGGTCTGCTGGGGGTATGCACACGTGAGGGTGTGTGTGTGCCGACCTGGTGCGCCTGTTGATTGGTCAGGGAGCTACTTTCCCTGAAGGTCTCACCGTATTTGCTCCCACTGCTTTTCCAGTCTAATTCCTCTGCTCAGACGCCCTCCCCACTCAGCCTTTACATTCCAGCACAGGGCTGGAGCCATGGTGAAGTGCGTCAGGCTCCTGAGCACCCAGACCGAGTTCGATCCCCAGCACCTCATGGAGTCTCCCGAGCCCACCAGGAGTGACCCTGAGCAGAGCCAGGAGTAGCCTTGAGCATCGTGGGGTGTGGCCCAAAAACAAGGAAGGAAGGAAGGAAGGAAGGAAGGAAGGACGGAAGGAAGGAAGGAAGGAAGAAAAAAAGGAAGGAGAAAAAAGGAAGGGAGGAAGGAAGGGAGGGAGGGAGGGAGGGTGGGAGGAGGGAGGGAGGGAGGGAAGGAAGGAAGAAAAGAAGGAAGGGGAAGGAAGGGAAGGAGGAAGGAAGGAGAAAGAAGGAAGGATGAAGAAGGAAGAAAGAAAGGAAGTAGGGAGAGAGGGAGAAGGAAGGAAAGAAGGAAGGAAGGGAGGGAGGGAGGGAGGGAGGGAGGGAGGGAGGGAAGGAAGGAAAGAAGGAAGGGGAAGGAAGGAAGGGAGGGAGGGAGGGAGGGAGGGAGGGAGGGAGGGAGGGAAGAAGGAAGAAAGGGAGGGAGGAAGGAAGGAAGGGAAGGAGGGAGGGAGGGAGGGGGAAAGAAGGAAAGAAGGAAGGGGAAGGAAGGAAGGAAGGAAGGAAGGAAGGAAGGAAGGAAGGGAGGGAGGAAGGGAGGGAAGAAGGAAGAAAGGGAGGGAGGAAGGAAGAAAGGGAGGGAGGAAGGAAGAAAGGGAGGGAGGGAGGGAGGGAGGGAGGGAAGGAGGGAGAAAGAAGGGAAGGAAAGGAGGGAGGAAGGAAAAAAGGGTGGGCGAGAGGAAGGGAAGGAAGGGGGAAAGGGAGAGAGAGAGAGAAGAAGGAGGGAGGGAAGGAAGGAATACCAGCACAAGGGGCATCTCCTTTGGGAAGCCCTTCCTGACTACCCCCCTCCACTCCACTTGCTGAGGAACCCTTGGAACATGGCCGTGAGCAGGGCACATGCCTCTCTGACAAGAGCTTGGTGCAAACACCCTGCCGTTGGCTTTTCACTCCCACCCACAGCGTCCTCGGGGCCGTAAACTGAGCAGTCCCACAACCTTGGCTGCCGCTCCTAGAGTGATCTTCCCAGCGGGGCTGTGAGGGCCCATTTGTTGGGTGAGACCACTGAGACACCCAGAGGGTATCAGGCTTGAGATCACAATGAGCATTTCCCAGAGGATAATGCTATTTGCTTCACATTCTTTGCTTGTTGTGTGTGTGTGTGTGTGTGTGTGTGTGCGCATGTGTGTATGGACCTATATACATGTGTGTATGCCTGTGTAGTATGGATAGTATGTATAACTGTGGATGTGTATGCATCTCTCTCTCTCTCTCTCTCTCTCTATATATATATATATATATGTTTGTGTATATATGTATGTTTGTGTGCCTGTGGTCATACTCATGTATGCATAAAACTCTGTGTGTGTGTGTGTGTGTGTGTGTGTGTGTGTGTTTATCTGTTTCTGGGTGGCCCAGATCCCAGACACACACTTGTCATCTGCTGTGTCCCCTGCAAGGACAGCGGTTAGGGGTGTTGGGAGCGGGGGTGTGCCCCCCCCAGTCCCCCCTGGTAGAGGCAGGCTGGGGAAGCTGTCAGAGAATGATGTGACTAACGGAGTGAGTTCTCTGCCGAGAGATGCGTCAGTGGGTTGCCTCCGGCCCGAGTGGCACCCCTGACTCAAGCAGGAGCCCTGGAGCTCGTGAACAGTATCATCAGGAGCACCACCCGTTTATGGGACTGTTCGAAAAATAGCCACAGCTGATAAGATGACTCAGTGTGAAACAACCACTCATAAACAGAGAGATGGCGGGGAGGCCCTGTTGGGAGCTTCTTTCTTCCTTCGGTTCTCTGGAGACCTGTCCCCTGCCCCCAGCCCACTCCCTCCCCAGGCCCCCACTTCTTCCTCATCCCTGGAAAGAATCAAACTCTGCCAGCTTCACCCCTGCTCGGCAACTCCCCAGCCCTGCCCCCACTGCCCACTGCCAGGACGGTTGCTGTGTGCCCCTGGAGGGTACACAGGTAGGGAAACTGGGGTGCCTGAGACCCTCACCACAGGAGTGGGAAGGGCGCTCTGCTCTGTCTTGTCCCATGGCGATTTCCAGTTCCCCTGGGGCTGCCGGTGTATGTCATGGACCCTGAGAAGCAGCAAGATCTCCCTGAGGCCCCCACCCCCACTCAGCCTCAGAGCACCCCCCTCCTGTCCGGGCCCCCTGGGGATAACCAGGCTGCACCCTGGGAAAGCTGCCCCTTGCTGTCATGCCCAGGTTGCCCTCAGTGGACAGGGACCCATGTTCCTGGAGGCGTCTTACCTGGGGCTGGGCCCCCGAGAGGCCAGTTGGCTGAAGCTGGTGCCCGGTGCTGCAGCTCTGCCCAGGGCCGCTGTGAGTGAGCAGCTGGCCGGCAACACAGGCCTTATGCTGGGGGGACCTGGGAGGCAGCCACACCTGTGCTCTTTGGACCCTGAGGGGGAGTGGCATCCCCAGCCACATCCCGGCCCAACCCCAAGCTGGGCCTTGTGGCTGGAGTCCCACGCTTAGCCTCCACTCCAGCTTCCTGCCTAACCATCCCAGTCTGAGCTGGTGCCCCCTTGTGTCCCTGCCTTTGGGGTCTCTGTCCTGGGGGTCCAGTCTGCTTTAGGCCCTGAGGAAGGAGAGAGCAGTGCTCTCTGCGTGGCCCATACACCGGGATGAGCCCCTACTTTGTATGCTGGCACCTCGATGGGACCCCCAGGGCTGCATGGTCCCCTGGGCCCTGCTGGGAGTGACCTCTGAGCGGGCCGGGAGGAGCCACTGACCGCTGCCAGGTGTAGCCCCAAACAAACAAACAGATGAAGTCCAAGAATGCACTGTCCCCTCCCACAGGCCTATTGTGGTGACACAGCACCTGGTAAGGAAACAGGAGGGAGGCTGGAAGCACCCCCAGGTCCCCCCTCATCCCACGCCCTGTCCTCGCTTCCTGGTGTCCTGTCTCCCCAGACGCCCTCCCCCAATTCCCTGCCCTCATCCAACCGCCTCCCTGGGAAGGAGTGTCCACTGTCCCCCCCATGGGTCTCTGCCCCAGCCCCTCTCACAGGGACCTTCCCTAGTGGGAAATGGGGGAGGGGGGCAATTCTTTCCTCTAGGACTCGTCTCGCACCCTGCTGCTCTAGGGAGAAAACCCAAACTTCTCAAGATGCTTACAGGGGGGCTGGAGCGATAGCACAGCCGGCTGGGAGTTTGCCTTGCACGCGGCCAACCCGGGTTCGGTTCCCAGCATCCCATATGGTCCCCCGAGCACTGCCAGGAGTAATTCCCGAGTGCAGAGCCGGGAGGAACCCCTGAGCATCGCTGGGTGTGACCCAAAAAGGAAAGAAAAAAAAGATGCTTACAGAGAAGCATGTGCGGGCCTCAGACTATTTATTGAATGATTGAAGTAAGAGAAGGAGAAGGGTCCCTGGGAACTCGGAGACCAGAAGTCGGTTCCAAAGGACTTTCAGGTTTCTTTCTTTTTCTTTCTTTCTTTCTTTCTTTCTTTCTTTCTTTCTTTCTTTCTTTCTTGCTTGCTTTCTTGCTTTCTTTCTTGCTTTCTTTCTCAACATGTTATTGGCTGATTTGCGATACCACTTAATGAACAAGAGATGAAGACCCATTTCTGGTCATCTGCCAACACCCCGCTCCCCCCACCCAGAGCTATTCCCTGCCACCCCCACTTGTCACTACATGGTTTCCCCAGCTATTCATTCAGTAAACTGCTACCTCGGCCATGTCCCACCTCATCTCTCATAGGGCAGCTGCCTCTGCGGTCTGGGGGCCCACCCCACGTTCCCTGTGCTGGGATGCCCTCCCAATTTCCCTGAGGATGTCCTTGTTCCGGGATGCCACCAAGCCTGCATTTGTTGGTGGATTCTCTCTTCTCCATTATGGCCCAAAGACTGAGGCCTCAGGGGTCAGTGCAGGGAGACTAGTGGGAAGCAAAGGATGGAGCCCAGCGGCCGGCCTGGGCAGAGAGAAAGCAGGCATGGAGACTCACAGATATGTGAGACGATTCCTGGCATAGGAAGGGCCTGGCTGACGAAGCGGAGAGATGGTAGAAGTGTTTGCGCCAGGACCTGACGCATCCAGGATTCAGTCATCCTCTGTAATAAGGACAAAGTGCACAGGGTTGGCGGGGCCATTCGGGCGGGTTCAGTCGCAGCCTGAGGCCCACAAGGCGCGATCCACTGAAGAAGGGGTGCCATGCGTAGGTGCCCCTCTGGGACCAGCGCGAATGAGTGCAAGCCGCTGTTCCAACCACGACTAATTGACTAATCGTCCAGACAAGGATGCAGATTCCCACTGTGCTCCATGGTGGCCCTGTTCCTGTCTGACTAGGAGCGTGATGTTAAGAGCTCTGTACAAGTGTCCCTTGGTGGGTGGCGCAGTTAGGAGTGAGCCCCGGGTCCCGGTGTTGCTGGCTGT